AGGTCCCTTCCGACCCTACTTCTATGATTCTATGATAAGTGACTGCTGCTGGTCCCAGCCAAACTCATTTGCCCTTCGTGGTTTCCTTGTCCAGTCTCAGTATGTGCCTTCTACCCCTTGCACCCTTCTCACCATCTCCTTTCCTAGTCAGTTCCAGATTTCTCCTGTCCCTGTCAGATCAGTAGGGGTCTACCCAACTCAAAGCAGTAGTTGGCCAATTAGCCAGCTTATCAGGGTGCCCCCCCCACCCTAACTTCTGACCGGCCAAAGAGCCCGGTAGGGCTGAACAACACAAGGAAATGTTTTGGGGATGGGCAACTAGAAGCTGCACCTATGCTATTGCCCCCATTTCTCCCCAGGCCCCACTCCCTGGCTGTAACACAGGCGTAGCTTCCTGCTGCTGGGGAACTAATTCAGGCTGGGCAGCTTCCAGCTGCATCCACATTGCAGACAATCTTCTAGCTGCCCATCCCTGGTACAGCTTGCCCTCGGCTGCAAGCTTTATCCATGCTACTGCCAGAGCAGGGGGGGCAGGGAGAAACAGCAGCATGGGCACACTTCCCAGTTGCCAAACTCTGGTGCAGCTGCTCTCCAGCCCCAGCAGGGAAAAGCAGTGGTGGTGTCTGTGCAGATCCCAGCTGCTTGGCCCTGGCATGGGTGCAGTTAGAGAAGCCTCACTGCTGACATGCCACCAAAGCCACCTGGCCCATACTGGACGGGAGCCAGGTTCTTCCAACCTGTGGCTTGAAAAGGTTCCTGGCCCCCATCCTACTGAATCAAAAGGGCTGATATCAGAACCACTGACTTAATCAACTTTGGTTAGTCTATAAGGTGCAAATCTACTCTGCCTTCTATATAACAATAGGCCCAGGAACTGGCAAAGGAGTAGGAGCATGGAAACTACTTAACGGAAGAAGTGAAAGAAAAAAAATGTCAAAGGCAATAGCCTTTGTGACAACCTCTCTAAAACAGATCCAGTCTATTCCAAAAAACAGAAGGGGGGCACAGCAAAGAGTGAGAACAGTAAAAGTCCCAATATTTTGAATCGGGAAGTCCTGGGGCAGGAGTCACACACAGATTTGTAACTCATATGTGCACTTGTGTTTAACATGAGTGTTAAAAATTCCTTTGCAATACTTTTGTTCTGTAACAATTCTCCAAGGGCTTCAACTGTAATCCAGTACCTGCAGTGAAGAGGGTGAATGGGATAACAGCCAAGTTGACTAGAGAGGCATAAGAAGTCTTGGGGCAAAGGGCAGCTGGAGTGCAGCATCCTATGTAACTAAGGAAAAGTGGGTGACTTAACCAGAACTGCAACACACTCAACCCCCATCTCCCACTCTTCACAGGCTTCACCTTAGGTCATAGACACATACCTTTGTATCTGTTTCAAAAGAGCAATTTCACCAAGTGGTTTAACTCTACATTTGTGTCATTTTCAGTTTGTTCACATGCAACTATTAGAACAGTTGCTGCCCTTTTGAAACAGCTCCCAACAGACAGGTGTCCATGCTCTTAGTAACCAGTTGCAGGCTCACCGTGCCCCAACTCCCATTTCCCTCTGCCCTTCATCTGCCAGCACTTAGTCTCACTTTTTATCACCCCTCAATCCCCAAATTTCTTTTCCTAATCCATATACAGTCCCTACTCCCCAAGCAGGTCTAGCTCTTGTCCTCTTTGGATTTGAATCAGACATCTCTTTCCATGTTGCATGGGCCAGCAGCAGACTGCAGGAGAGACAGGTTCTCGGTTCAAATGACTGGAGAGGACATAACCCACAGCTACTACTGCAAGGAAAAATTGTATTCAGCCCTTAACTGGAGCATACTCAGTACAAGCAACACATTTTAGGGACATCTAGCTGCTAGCACATTAAAAGTTCCTATTAAACAGGTGAAAACAACAGCTTTGTGAAAGGTTTGTAACTTAGCCAAATTGGGTGGATTCTCCTGTCCTTGGCAAAGGTCAAAGTCTTACTCCAAGCCTGAAAGGGTACTGGAGTTTTCCGAACAAATTTCGTAAGGATTTCTCAAATGAGGTGCAGCCTATTTCATAATTTTTAGGGTCAGAAGGGACCTGAACAGATCATCAAGTCTGACCCCCTGCCCTGGGCAGAAACTAGTGCTGGGATCATAATACCCCAGCCAGCTATCTATCCAACCTCCTCATGAAGACCCCCAAGGCAGGGGAGAGCACTACCTCCCTTGGGAGCCCATTTCAGAGCCTGGCAGCCCTAACCGTAAAGTACTATTTTCCCCTAGCCCTATATTTGGAAGCGTCTAAACTGTGTTGGATAAAACTAATTAGAAACATCCACTAGGGCTGTGCGAAGCTTTGGTCACTGATTCAATGCGGAGGAGATTCAGCCCGATTCAGCAGCCAGATCTCTGAATCTAATCAGGAGACTCATTAATCTCTCCAATTTGATTCGAAGAGATTCAATGATTCACACATAGACACAAATTTATGTTTTTTCTATATACTTCAAGGTACCAGGCTGCTAGTAAATGCTGAGATGGTGGGGTGGATGGAGTGCCCCACAGGAGCACAGGGGGTCCCCAGTGTGCTCAGTGGTGGACCTGGAAGTGGACCAGAAGCACTTCCAGTCCACTTCTGGGTCTGCCGCAGAACACGTGGGGGACCTCCCTGGCTCGGTGACTGGTGCCTCCTGGGTCTGAAGGGGCATCCGGGGTACCCCCATGGCCAATTGCCAAGCATGGAGGGTGCAGGCGGGTCCCCTGCATGCTCAGCGGCAGACTTGGAAGTGAACCAGAAGTGCTTTTGGCCCACTTCTGGGTCCACCACTGGGCATGCTAGGAACCCCCCACACTCCTGCATTTCTGGAGCTGTCTGATCCACTTCCAGGTCCAACACGGAGCACACTCAGCGGCGGACCCCCTCTAAACAACAGATATGCAATTTCAGACCAAATTGTTAAACACTGGAAATGCAACTATAAAGTACGCAATCTAGACTACAGGACACCTTTATTTTGATGTAAACATTACATAAGAAAATAGGTTTGACCAGTATACTAGCTTACTTTGAACCACAGATTCTCAGATTATGTGAACAAAAATAGCAATGTAGTCCATGAGTAGGCCCTTCCAAAATACATAGGACTCTCTCTTTGAAGGACTCTTCAAACTGAGTAAAGGTATCAAAATCCAGCTGGTTTCCAGGCAGCAGGGCAAATAAAGCCATTTGGGATGCAAATTAAACATATTTATTGCATCTCTCTTCACAATGTTGACCAGTCAAATATATTGTCAGTATTTAAGTTGCCTTTATGCTTCAGAGCCAATAACCCACAGCAGTTAAGAGACTGTGACAGAAGAGTATGACAGCAACTCACTTCTTCAATTAGAGGATAAGTGTCCAGGTGAGTATCAAAGGGGCCTGGTGGATCAGACTAAATGGTTTTTAATCCTTTTTTGATTTATTACAATCAATCAATCAGCTGAAAACAAAAGTACAGGGAGAGGGATAGAGATTTTACCAGTCAGACATCCAAGCAGGTTTCAGATTGGGAAAAAGGATGCAATGGTATTCTCTGCCATTATACTCACAAGTCAAAATGTCAACCAAAGACAACTTGCATATTTTTTAGACACGTTCAATACTGTTTCCTACATCAACAGGAGATCGTATTCAGGGATAATACTTTAAACTCACCCCCCTCCCCCAAAACAAAACAAAACAAAACAAAACAAAACAAAACAAAACAAAACAAAACAAAACAAAACATTAGATTTGGGGATTAATGTACAATCAAGATAAACATGAACATTTTATGTTGAACAGCTACTGTTTCAGGCCAACTCAAGAATCAGAAAAGCTGAGATACTGGACCTCCACCTAACCCAGGAAGTGCACAGTACCACCAGGGGGAATGCCTGGCCACAGGCGATGACCTGGTGAGTAGGCTGCAGGTTCTCGACCATCTGGGTGATAGCAATCATCGCCTACTGGAATTGACCATCCAGCACAGGGTGTCAAAGACCTGCAGCAAGGCAGCAGCCCTGGACTTCAGGAGGGCCGATTTCAGTGAATTAAGGAGATTAGTCATGGAGGCACTGAGGCCCCAGAGGGGAGGAGAGTTGGGAGTCCAAGATGAGTGGTCGCTCCTTAAGGCGATGATCCTCTGAGCCCAAAGCAGGACAATCCCAATGCGAGTCATAGAAAAA